CGACCTCCAACTCGCCGAGTCCCCTCACAGAATGTCAAAAATATATTAAATGAAGATACCTGGGGATCCGGGCTGTTACAATTTTTTTTTGTTTTGAAAAACATGAGATGCTACAAAGCCCTTCACATGGTCACCCATTTTCTAAAGAGTATCTCGTCCACCTCTATTCAAAATGATACACCTCACTTTCGCTTATTCCAAACTCACCCACATATACACACCTTTGCGTTTTTGGCTCGTTATGCTACCCTCATCTCACCACTCCTCATAAACTCGCACCCTGCACATCTTAATGTGTCTCTTTGGGTTATCCTCCAAATCATCACATTTATCAATGATTAGACTTATACTCACGCAAAATATAATTTATCGTCATATTATAATCTCCATGTGTCTTTTTGGGTTATATATCCTTCAAATGACTCAACCCACTTGTCACGTCACTATTATTACTTTAATGAAATTAGAAAATTCAAAACGAAATAAACATAACAGTTATTACTTTTTATTATTTATAATAAACTTTTACTAATTTAAAACCATATATATATATATATATATATATATATATATATATATATATATATATATAACAACAACATTTAATTAAAAAACCATACTACGATAAGATAAATTAAATCCTAAAGCTACAAAATAAATAACCAAAAACTCATACTACAAACGACAAACTAAAAGAAATACTTAAATGTGTGGTTTTGAATTAGTAGAAGAGAGTATTTATAATGGTATAAAAGGAAAAAAAAATTTAAATGTATCCTTTGGAGGTGGGTTCCACAACCCGCTTGGAGCTTCTTCTAGCGGAACCCTCCTCACTCGGAGCCATCACCTAGGCGGTACTGCTGCCTACCTGCCTAGGCCCGTTATTGCCGATGTGGCAATGCCTTAGCGGCTTGGTAACGAGGTGAATACCGCCTCCTGCTGTTATGTGGTGTCCCGTGATGATGGTAACAAGCTACAATGCATTTCTTTTTTTATATTCGTTTGATCCCTTCCATACATGCAACGATGATGACGATGACGATATCTTCGTCTCTATGATGAACTAGTGTTGTACGAACGTACTACTATAACCTGATCCAACTCCTCTACTAATAGAACGTGCAATGTTAAACATAGATCGCAAAGAAGGACACCAACATCTAGTTCATGACTATTTTACGGATAATTATGTCTTCCAACCACATGATATAAAAAGAAGGTTTCCTTTGCGAAAAAGTGTGTTTGTACGGATAGCCAATGCCTTGAAAAGTAGGTATTATTTCTTTCAAGTTTTCTAATTTGTAAATGTAGCTTTTATAAAAACTAAATACATTTTTTACCTATTAAATATAAGTTTAGGTGTTAATTTTTCCAAATAAGATATGATGCTAGAGGTAATCAAGGATTCACAAGGTTGCATAAATGTGTTGCGGCAATTATGCTTATGGTTATGGTGGAGTCGCCTGATTCTACTGACGATTATATGAGAATGTTTGAGATAATTGCAATAGAAAGTTTGTATACATTGGTGTGTTGTCGAAACCTTCGGTGATGTTTATTTTCACGAACCGTCATTGAATGATATGCAACAACTATATGTGGCACATGAAGAAAAACATCGTTTTTCAGGTATACTTGGAAGCATTGATTGCACACACTGATACTGGAGAAATTGTCCAGTGGCATGGAAAGGTCAGTATGCAAATGGTTATAATGGAACACATTCGTTACTATTAGAGGTTGTTGCTTCCCAAGATTTATGGATTTGTCATGCTTTTTTTTGGGGTTGCGGGTTCCAACAATGATGTCAATGTTCTTGACCAGTAACTAATATTCGATGATTACTTTTCGGGAAATGCATTGAATGCTCCTTTCACAGTGAATTGAAATGAATATAAATATAGGTATTACATTACGGTTGAAATATATCCAACATATTCCACATTCGTGAAAGCGTTTCGACACCAAATAGATCCAAGAAACAAAATTTTAAAAAGGGGACAAGGAGCATGTAACGATGTGAAACATGTTTTTGGATTTCTAAAGTCGATATGACACATAGTTGAACATGCGACATGACGATATCAGTTAGAAACTCTACGAGATATTATGTATGCATGTATCATAATGCACAACATGATGATTGAAGATAAATGAATGAATATTATGGAGTATTCGTATATAGAACCCAGACACATGCAATTTCAACCAGGGACAACGAAATATTTATATGGAGTCGTTTATATTCAGGACGCACGAAAATACATGCAACTTCGAGAAGACATGACTGATTATATGTATGATGGTAATGAAGATGAATAATTTAGGGGAAAATGTAATTTTTTGTTTTCAAATGTTTTTTTTGTTGTAATGTGTTTTTTTAGAATATTGAATGTTATGTTTAATTAAAAAATTAGGTTTTATGTAAAGAACATGTTTTACTAAATTAATTTTATTTTTATAAATATTAAAATTAAATCCAAAAAATGATGAAATAGAAATTAGTGGGTGTTCTAAGGTCATCAACAATACCCACCACTAACCAACATAATGGTAGATATCACTTCATCGACACATCCTACTACTAAAACTGTGGGATAATTACCACTAACACACCACACCACATCATTTTTGTAAATTAAATTTAGTTCAAAAATACAATAAACAAATATATTTTTTTTAAACTAGGTTTCATTAAATTGAAAAAAACATTATTATTTTTTTTTTTAAAAAGAGAAAATTTAAAATACAATAGAAGAAAACATACGAAATTCAAACACGAACAATTACCTTTAATCCTATTTTTTAAATAATGTTATTTCATTTTGGGGAATTATTCAACTTTTGTCAAGCTTTGAGATGTGTAAAATGTTTGTGTTTTGTGTTTTCATATTGATGCATGCCCACGTTAAGCGGATCGATATCGCATTCGTGTGCATTGTTTATAACAAAGTTGTAAATTTCATTAAACTCGCAACATATTACCCTCATGTCGCGCCATTTCGAACATATTTGGTCGGAATTTCAACTTGTAGAGCTCATTAAACCATAGAAAACGCTTCAAACTTTTCCCCAAAAATCTCTAGAGATTTGATTAACCCTGTCTTCTGAAGCCAACACCCATGTTTGTGCTAACTTCTCTTCCTCTTCTTCTGATTAATTCATCCTTTTGGGAGCCATGGTTTTTGAAAGGGTAGCACAAATGTGTGAATGTGAATAAAATGAGAGAAAAATTGTGTGAAATATAAGAAGCTTTGTAGTAGTATTTATATAGGTAAATTTAAAAAATAAATAAATAAATAAATGTCCAAAGTAGCCGTTACACATGGTCAAAGGAAGAGTCAAAGAGTAATTGGTTGTTGTCTGTCATTTTTGGCTTCACGAAACATCACGACCACGCCCAACCACAAGGGTTCGGGGTGGTGTTCACGAACAACGATCGTGGCCACATAGACCACGATCCATCTCGTTGTATCCATTGCAGATGACCTAACATGTTGCCCATTTCCTCACTTTGTGTTATAACATCATCGGTGACATAGCATGTGAGGTGATACTTTTTTAGTGTGGTAACATGCCTTAATATTTAACATGTTGCTTAAAGCCAAAATTTTGGAATAAAAGACTTACATCATAATAAGATATTAAATATATTTTTTACAGAGTCTTCAAATTTGAAAGAGAAAACTGCCAAAGAAAATTTGTAGAAGCTAAGTGAATATATATATATATATATATATATATATATATATATATATATATATATATATATATATATATATATATATATATATATATATATATATATATATATATATATATATATTAGAAAATCTCAATAATAATATATATGCTAATTATGCATTTAAGTTGCCGTACGTAATGGTAATGTATGTATTGAATTTGTACTGCTTTGAATTGTGTCGGGTTATGAAAAGAGAGAAAAAAATTCTAATGGACTAAATATAGTACTTATACAATGTGAAGGGACTCTTTAAGTAAATTTCACTGTAGAATGTCACTGTTACTCCTGATTTAGGTGCTAGTACCATGGAAGCTCCGGTTAAATGAGATAAACAGAGATGTACTTTCATATATTTGTGTATTGTAAGCATCTTACTTTCATTTCTTTCTATTACAAGATTGTACTTTTCAGTTTTTTTTTTCCACTGTCAAATACCATACTTGACAATCTACCAAATAATAGTATTGTACTTCCATTTTTTTCTTATTAGGACATTGTACTTTGAAAAATCTACTGGCTTATAGCAGTGAAAATTGCTTTGTATTTGGATGACTTTTCTATAATGGATAGAATTTTCAAAATACAATGTTGTAATGGGTGCAAAAAGTAGAATGCAATAATAAATTGACTAGATGAAAGTACATTGTTGTTTCTTACATTTAACCCTTCAATTTAAAGGTTAAATGTAAAGAAACAACGTACTTTCATTTATATGTTTTTTAATAGCATTCCACTTTTATTTCGTCCCATTATATCATTGTATTTTGAAAAACTTATCCATTATACGAATGTCATGTAAATACAAGGTAGATTTCACTACTATAATTTGGTAGATTTTTCAAAGTACGTCTGAATAAGAAAAAAATTTGAAAGTGAGTTGTTATTATTGGGTAGCATTGTACATTGAAAAATCCACCCTAATTATTTAATGCTGTCTAAATAGAAAACAATTTTCACACCTAAGATCGATTTATATCTTTCAAAGTACAATGTCTTAATACAAAATTGTTATAAAATGGTAACATGGTGTATTTTCTTAATATTTCACTTACTCCCATCATAGCATAGTACATTGAAAAGGCATCCTAATTATAGCAATGTCTTCTAAACAAAAAACAACTTTCACCATTCTAATCGGATCAAATTTTTCAAAGTACAATATCTTAATAATAGGAGTGCGTTCTGATGGATTGCAAGTTTAACGATATTTCAAACTATAATTTGGTAGATTTTTCATTGCTATTCTCAGCAATTTGCCTCTAAAATAATGCATAGAATAGAGTTGCAATCATATATTAGCAATTACATATATAAAAATAATCCAATAAACTACATTCCATTCTAACAAATCAACCAAACATGACTATAACTATAGAATGTAACGACTTATTCCATTACCCTGTCTCATTCCATACTATTTGTTTACATTTTGGGTATAATGTGACAAGTAACAAAGACAAAAATATAGACATTGGTCTCACTAACATTATTACAACCTCAAATTTCCATCTAACATCTTTTAACACAACAATCACAATATACCATTGATCACCACATTCTTTACATTCTCAATTGCTCACCAAAACCGGCTTTCTCATTTTAAATCTTAACCACAACACTTCATGAACCCGAGACAAATGGCAAACTAGCAACAACCGTTGGAGAAAAATGTAAATTCTGAGATGCTAAATATGCAGCAATCCCCGCAGCATATCCCGCAAAAGCAAATCCACTTGCCTGAAACAAAACAAAAATGAGATTTTCGCAAAATAAAGACCATACAAAATTACTATTTTGCCCTTGCTACTACCCATGTATAAAATAGGGAAAACCACAAGGTGTGTGTGATACCTTTCTTAGATACCAAAAAAAGTCGATCTTTTCCATTCCCATTAAAGCAACACCAGCAGCCGACCCGATAACAAGCATGGACCCACCAGTGCCCGCGCAAAATGCGACCAACTGCCAAAATTGGGAATCCTGCGGGTACGAGGAAAGGTCGTACATCCCCATTGCCGCAGCCACAAGTGGAACATTGTCTATAATTGCCGAAACTACCCCTATTGCGCTTGCAATCAACTCGCTGCTTGAAATATGGGCATCAAGGTAATTTGCGATTTCCCTAAGAAGCCCCGCCGCCTCCAGACTACGATATCGAGATTTCCATGAAAAAAGAAATCCGAGTCAGAAGTGTATTTACACTTTCGGCCCCTGTGGTTTAGTACATTTTATGGATTTGGTCCAATTTTCTTATTTTGTTTCTGACGTTTATCAGACACACAAAGGTTTTTTTGTCACTGGGAACCCATCTAAAATTTACTAATTTGCCCTTGCTTTTACATTTAGTATTAATTTTACTTTTAGGCCCATGCAAAATTAATATTTTACCCTTATTATTAAATTTACTTTTTGGCTATTGAACCCATGCAAAATTAGTAATTGCCCTTGTTACTACATTTTCATTTATTATTAAATTTACTTTTAGGCTGATAAACCAATGCAAAATTACCATTTTCCTCTTATTTTTAAATTTACTTTTGGCCGTTAAACCCAAGCATGACATAAACCTTTGCAGTGACGATGAATTTTTGTTTAAAAAAAAACTAGACCAAATCCATAAAAAGTAGTAAACTTCATGGGTGAAAAATGTAATTTACCCTAATTTCTAATAAGTCACGTTTCCACAATGTGTGGCATGCATTGGACTAATAGGATAAAAAGTCTGCACCCAATAAGGTGAACAAGGTGGGACAGAGTCAAAAGAGACTTTTTTTTGTCTGTGCAAAAGACGAAAATGCCCTTAAAACAATTTTAGTGCATACCTGCTAACAGACAAAAGGATCCCAAGGAAGAAAAGAGCTCCTTGAGTATCAATGCGCGATAAAGCTTGAGGTACTTTTAACCGTTGCCTTTCAGATTCACCATAGTGTATAGCATCAGTTAGAATCCAAAGAACTCCAAGCCCAAATAACATACCCAAATAAGGAGGTAAACCAGTTAAAGCCTTGAACACAGGAACAAACACTAATGCCCCAATTCCAACTGCAAAAACAAGTTGCCCACGTGGCGCCATTTGTTCCGAAGCTAAAACATCGTCCGTATTTTGCCCCTTGCCATTAACTTCACTAAACAAGGGACCAAAAAAAAAAAAAAAACACAAATCGAATTGGTCAACTAATGTGTTTGACCCAATACCTTAATCCTTTTGGGATTTCTAATTCCTTTCGTACTTTCGTTGTAATTGTTGGGATTTCCAACTTATCATAATATCATATAGTGGATTTTTCTCTATGGTTTTTCTCCGGTTTTGATGTTTTCCAAGTATATTCTTGTTATTAATTTTTTTTTTTTGAAATGATTTTCCAAACATCAACTCCCTAACAACAACCAATTTTTTTGTTTTCCATTCACAACGTTAAGTACCTGGAGAAGGACATGAGAGCCAAAGGCACTGCGAGAGAAACCACACTAGGGAAAAATAAACTCTGTAATTAAAAAAAAAATGGTATTAAATAATTGTTTTTGTGTGAAAGTCAACTAATTAATAAAAACAAGACCTTTATTGTAGGCAATGTAGATATTTGGCCATGTATCCATAGCATAGTAGTTGTTACATCACCAATTGGAGTCCATGCTCCACCTGCATTTGCTGCTATCACAACTACAGCACCAAGTAACCTGTAAATTGTCAAACACTCCACTTTTTATCACATTGCAAAAATAAAAAATAAAAAATAAAAAACCATTTTACTAAAAATATAATTTCATACTTTCGGTATTCTGATGGAGGTACAAGTTTCCTCAATAACGAAACCATGACTATTGTAGATGTGAGATTGTCAAGGATTGAACTTAGAAAAAACGTTACAAAACCAACCTGAAAATTATCTCTTAAAAGAAAGTTGTCATATTCGTCAAAAAGTTAAGTACATTGTCTATATCGATAAAATGATTGTATTGTAAATTTATAAATAAAAAAATATTGAAAATTTAAATTTGATGAATGATGACTAACCACCCAAAGAAGGGAACGAGGCTTCCGAGTTGTAATATTATCAGTAACAAGTTTAAAGCCTTGATGAGCATCAATTATCTCCACAATTGTCATTGCACCAAGTAAGAAAAATACTATTTCACTCACTTCTGCTGATGCGTGTGATAATTCTGCTACAGCTATGTCAGTTGAAGGGGCCTACATGACAACATTCCAAACTTTTGGACTGGAAACGTAACTAATCTTTTTTTTTGACTGAATGAAATGTCTGAAAGGCAGAAAGAACGATATTGGTAACTTTGATGACTTACTCCAATGCTTCGAATGACCCACAAGCTAACTGCCATTAGTAAACCAACTCCACTTTTATTAAAAGCGAGTGATTCTTCAAAGATTATGCCAGCGTACCCTAATCCAAACAACAACGCCATTGCAAGATCCTGAAATGAAAGTAGTTAGCTTTATCTTCGTAAGAAGATTGAATAAGTATGAGATGAGAGAAAGAGAAAAACCTGGTTTTCAGCGACCCATGAATGATTAATGGCGACTGCTCCTGTGGCAGCTGCTCCGAATACTGCAAGAGCTTTTAATAAATCGGTTTTTGGCTGGTAAGTAGCTTCGTATTCTTGAGAACTTGTTTCATCGACTGAACATAAAGGATCACAAGATCCCGATGATGCTACATCCTGATTTCATCCATGTGTTAGAAGAAGATAATAGTTATTTCCCGAAAGGGTTTTTGGTAGTCGAATTGATTTCTAGTTTTCTACAAGGTTTTTTTAGGAAATTCAAATCAAATTATACTCCAAGTATCGATCTGAAGCTACTCGCCCAATTGGGAAATTGATTCATTTGATAATAAAATAGAGAAATGGGGAACTTAGTAAGACCTGAAACTGCTTATCTGAATTGGGTTTCGGCTGTTGTTGAATCGATGATGGGTTTCCTCCTCCGTCACGTGCTTTATCTTCTGCACGTGCCAAAACGCCATTTCTGTGCAAAAGCTTTGGACCTCTGGGTGGGAACAGAGGCGGTGGCGGAGGTAACGATACGAAGGAGTGTTTCCGGAATTGGGGGTGAAGGGAGTGAGAGAGGTGGTGAGCTTTGAATGGAAGCAGAGTGGAAGACATTCAGATGGGTTGCCGGAGGATATGGCGGTGGTGGAAGCTGGCCGGCGATGGTGGTAAGGGAGGAGCGGGGATTTGGAATAGTCGGACAGTAAGATTCAAGACACAAAATCTTGTTGGTTATCTTTGCTTTGCACGTCAAAAGTACAAGTATTGATGCATTTGGTACAACGCTTGATATTCATCGGAATCACCATTATGCACTGGTATCTTTTAAACAATATTTTCGTTGTAGTCCTCAAACTTATGGTCAAATATCATTTGAAGTCCAACATGTTATCTACCGGCATCCGTTATAATGTGGGTTGAATGAAAAGCTGTTAAATCTTTTCTTTTGTCTAAATAAAGTTTTTTTTTTTTTTTTTTTTTTTTTAAATTAATTTTTTTATATATTATTTTACGATTTTTTTTAGTTTACTAAATTTCATATAATATTTTAATATAATAATTACAATAAATATGATAATAAATACATATCAATTTTATTAATGAATTTACCTTTTAATTTCAAAATTCTCAAAATTAAAGCTTATTAGTTTCTTTTATTTATTTAAATTTAAAAAATAAAAATATTTATATTATAATAATTCATTATTCTTCTTAACTTTTTATAAATTCAAAGTTATTAAATATTTTGATATTTAAATTTAACTTTTTTTTTTCAAATTAACTCATGTAATACACGAATCTCGGTTAACCAGAACCAGTACCGTCGGGCACCCGCCTCTTTAAAAAAATATTTAATATTTATATTTTGGTGATTTTGTGTATAAAAATTTCGGAAAAAGGAAGTGCCCTTATCGTTTTTAGGGTTTTTGAATTGTAACTGTGAAATTCATTCTTACAAAACAAACGCAAATACCCACACTCCTACACTTTCTTCTCGCAATCAGACGCCGACACTCCATGCTTACAAAAATTTTGTTCGATTCGCTAGAGTAGAAGACGAAGGTGGACTCTTTCGATTATAGTCCTCATTCGTATCTCTCGCTCACGTTGTTCCCAATCGTCGACCATTGCAAGCCTGTAACTACGATTCACTAGAGTAGAAGACGACAACAGAAGAAGACCAAACCTACAACTAAGAGTCTTCATCTTCAGGTTAGATTCTCGAAGTCTGTTACTGTGACATCCCCATTTTCACGGCTAGAAAAAATCAATTTTGTTTATGCTTTATAAAAATTAGAGTACCTCTTTTAATAAAAGTGCTGCGGAATTTGTCCCTAGAAAAACATGATAATTACGTTATCAAAGCATTTCCGAAAAAATGTATTTTTTTATTCATTTTAAAACATTGGGATGTCATCGTCAATACAGTAACATAAGCATAAACATAACTTACATTTATTTACACTAGTGATCTACATCTCTTTTAAATCTCTCAGTGTAAAGTAGCTTCATATCGACACATGTGATACAAATAAGCTAGAGTGGGTCAGGTTAGGAAACCTGGTGAGTACATAGGGTTTTCAACCCACAATAATATAATTATTATATTTAAATATCAAACAATCAACCCAATTACCCATTCCTATTATCTTCTTAAGGATTTACCCTAAGGATCAGTTAATCCTTGTTCATTCATTCCTAAGGATCATCCTAAGGAAACAACATGAAGTCCATTGTTGCCAATGACACAGTGGTCAAGCGTAGCTGCTATTATTATCACTTAGGCGAAGCTTCCAGAATTGGAACATTTTCTATGAGGCACTTCTGCCAGTATTGACCTTTAAACGCTATTGTCATGGTCATAAGGCTCCCTATTAGGCGCAACTGCCGATACTGTCCTTAGAGCGCAGCTGCTAGGACGTTTACCGTAGATCTAAAATATCTACGGGTTGTGGCGCAGCTGCCAGTGCTCATCTATAGGGTACTAGGTCCATTGCTGCTAATGTTTACCTATAGGGCACTAGGTCCATACTACTAATGTTCCTCTATTTCAACTTTTACCCCTCATCATTCAACTACCCATGTTTTACCCAACATATTTTGTAGATATAAAATACTTTATACAATTTACATCATTTAAAACATGTATAAAAATCTTTCACCAACATAGACAACAATTATTTAGACAATATGCACACATAGCACGTAATTTATATTAAAATACTTCATATCTATGTGTAATATGAAAGGGACTATGCACTCACAACATGTAATTTATATTAAATACTTCATACCTATGTGTAAGATGAAAGTAACTATGCACTCACAACATGTAATTTATATTAAATATTTCATATCTATGTGTAAGATGAAAGTAACTATGCACTCACAACATGTAATTTATATTAAATACTTCATATCTATGTATAAGATGAAAGTAACTATGCACTCACCTGGGAAGGTGGTGACTCGACACTAGAACAACACTTTGTTACTCTCAACAAAATTTTCCTTGGACAAAACCTAGTATCATTACCACTAGAGTTTAGTCTAATATTCGCCGAGACTAATTAATAATAGTCTGGTTATTATTACTATTATATAAGCGTTAAAAAAAATACTTATATAACCCATAATAATACCCCAAATACTCCTTATAAGGTCCTAATAACATTACTGTATTGAAACATAAGCTATACTAAAGATAGGGTAGCCATAGCTCCCTTACAGCGGGTTTTCTCGAAAACTAGGCTTCGCTGGAGCAGCGTTTCCGAGCCGAAAGGCTCTTTTCTCGGGACTCCAGGAGCCTCGGGGCTTCCTTCGGGAGCTAGGGAGGTTCCCTAGGATTTTTGGGGGTTTGGGGGTTAGAGAGAGAGAGTTTAGAGAGAGAAAGTGAAGTTGGGAAGGTGTGAAGAATGAGGGAGCCCGACACCTCTATTTATAGGCTGGAAAACAGCTCTACTCGTCGAGTAGGTCCTCCTACTCTTCGAGTCCATGCCAAGGGTCACCCTCTAGTGGCTTGCCTTGGGGAGAAATCCTTGGCCCTTATTCAACCACATCACCCGATTTCACAGAGCACCCTGCCGACTTCTAAACCCCGTAACTTTCGCATAAGAGCTCCGTTTTTTATGTTCTTTATATCCACGCGTAGTTAAAAACAAGATCTACAACTTTCATTTATAATCCATCGGCTAATTCTCGTCGATCTTAAATTTAACAGTAGGAGGATATTAGACTGTTAAATGACCACGAAGAATTCATAACTCCTTAATACGGACTCCGTTTTCATCTGTCTTTTACCGTTAAGTTCCTATTAATAAGATCTTCAACTCTCATTTAGGTCGCGTAATCCAAAAACCGCTCGAATTAAAATTCAAGTTTCGGGTTGTGCACTGCTATGCCAAATCTTAGAAAATTCATAACTTCCTCATACGAAGTCAGATTTGGGCGTTCTTTTTTTTGTATGTTCTCGGTTTAACATAGACTACAACTTTTATTTAGATCACTAAGGCTAAAAAGTCCTCTATTGTAAATTCACTATTTACGTCTCCCAGTGTCGTGTCGGTTTTGCTGTAAAACTTCGACGGACCATAACTTCTTCGTTATAACTCGGATTTCGGCGTTCTTTATATGTACGGAACCATTGAGACATATTCTACAACTTAATTAAGATTATTTATTCTAAATAATCTTTTGTCGAAAAGTCTTTTTCGACCCCTATTATCTCTAAATTGACTAGCCCGGATCTACGGGTGTTACAGTTATTGTTATCTCCATCTGTTAGTATCTCGATCATTGAGGAAGTGAGATCAAGTGATGAACTATTTCGATACATAGCCAAAAAAAAAAATATGCCCTTTTGTCCATTAGTTGTATGTTATTAGGTTTTCTTCTCATCAACATAATTTATACTATCGTTTACCATCAATATCATTAGTATTTCGATTATTAGCTGGTACATGCATGACTGGTTGATTAGCTGTATGCTGTTAGGTAATCCCTCTTTCTATATTAGCTACCTTTTGTGTTATTACCTACAATGTCCTTTATTCCATCTAGTAATATGTGGTTTTTTTTATTGTTACCTTCTTTGTAATCAGAATTTCAATTTTTTGACTGGAATATATCAAAAGTTCACTGTTTTTTATGCTTTGTGGTTTGTTGAAGATACAATAATCAAAAGTAAACTGATTTATTTTTGTATACTCAGAAATAGTAATAAGATATATTGGTTGTTATTGATTTATATTTGTTGTCTCAAAATTTCATTGTTATCTTTTGGTCATTATTAATTTATGTTTGTTGTGTAAAATTTTAGGTTCAATAATGGAAAGTAGTCGAATTGACATTGACTTGGATGGTGAAAGTGAGGCCATTGAGTAAAATAAAATGTCAGTAGTTGGGGACAAAAGGACATCAGAAGCTTGGCGCAACTACACAGACGTTAGAGATCCAAAGACAGGAAAGATTATAAAGGCGCAATGCAAACATTGTTCCAGACTCTTGACAATTACCACAAAGAATGGTACATCATCTTTGGGTAAACATAATGTTGTATGTTTACAAAATCTTGATAATATTGATACAAAAAAAAAAAGAAAATTAGCACTTTTAGAACAAGTCAAAGTGATGCGACCAACGTTTCTAATTAGGAATTTAACCAAAATACAATCAGGCTTGCTTTAGCAAACAGCGTGGACTCGCCGAGTCCACTCCTTGGACTCGCCGAGTCCAGACGCGAATCCACGTCCAAAATTGCGATCCTACTCGGCGAGTTTGAGCTCCAACTCGCCGAGTCTCCCCACAAAATACCAAAATATAAGAATGAATAGTACCTGGGAATCCGGGCTGTTACACCTACTACATAGATCAACTCATTCAGGACCTTCTCGCTGCTCGAGCAGAAGCAAGGGAGTATCGGGAAAGGTATTTGGCTCTCGAAGAAAGGATGACCGCAACCGAACGGAGGTTAGCAGAACTACAAGGCGCTTCTACATCATCCCAAGCTACGCTAGAGAAGGATCGTCGTGAGTAGGATTCATTACTATTCAAACATCTTCGTAGTGTAGGTTTATGAGTATGTGTTGGTGCTACTCCTTTGTATGAAGGTTGACCCTGCGATTAAGTGATTTCACTATTCAAAGGGATTTTGTGCTGTCAAAGCTATCTTTTGCATTGATGTAATGTAGACCCTTATGAGGTCAAATTTTCCCCAAAACAATATGTACTAAAAGTTTATCAATGAATTTGGCATGCATTTTACTTCATTGGATGTTGACATGAGATTTTACTATGTGGTATTACAAACAAATTTCAACTGATAACTCTAAGATTTATAAGGTGTGCC